AAATATATTTAATTGCTATAACTTTTGTATACTTACGACAGCCTTCAGGGGTGAGCTCCGGGAGCCGAGCGGGTGCCGCCTCGGGTCTGTCGTGTTCAACAAACTTAGCTCTAAATCCTTTGCTAGTATTCACTGAATTTGAGTTGAATTTAATAAGCATTCTGTTGGAGTCCGATATTATAACGTCTGGCTTTTGATTACCACAAAACCTGTTGTGATATAAATTTATTAAGTTAATTAATGTTTGTTTTGTCAAATGACATACAAGTCCTAAACTAATTAATATGGTATACAATTTACAAATTCATTAATTCTCAACCATAATATATAATATTCTATTTTAAACATAATATCTTTTGGTTGTACTTTTGTAAATTTAATATAAATTTTAAAATTCATTAGTTTAAAATTCTAACACATGTATTGTGTAATTGAAGTGAAAACAAAACTTTTAATATTAATGGTTTGATCAATAAAATTATAATGCATTTGTATTAAAGCTCAGAAGTCCGTAATTACGGGAAATTAAATTAAATTTTGAAATAGTTCTGTATATATTGTAATGAAAATAATTAAAAAATAAAATAGATTTTTATAAAATTATAAATTAGCGTTGATGTACAAAGAATTTGATTGTTGAGTCAATAGAGAATAAATTGATGTTTGTGTAGATATTAAAATTATAAAAATATGTTACGAAATATTTGTTTGTCTTGTAGTTTTACATAATATGTCAATTAAATTTATATTTCATAAAACTCAACAAATTATATTAAATTTAAAGAATAATTATAAAGTTAGAGCAAAAACTATACAAACCTTTGGACATCAGTTTCCAAGTCACCACTTTGGCTGACGAGCAGATAATCTTCGGCGCAGATATCGTTGGGGGCATTGATAGCAAAGGAGTCGTCAAAAACCAATTTAATATACTTTCCTTTCGGAACCTCAATATCCCAGACACAGGTCTCTTCCTCCCCATAATTGTTGGGATAATTGGGTGATTGGATTACACCTTCCTTTTGATTGACCAATTTATGCGAGCAT